AAATTAACAAACGTTTCGGTCTCACCATTGAGCTATCTTTAGTGTAATCGTAGAAACTTACATTAAGTTGTTTTTTAACTTTGTAAATATAATTTTAAAATTATGCGAACACGTTTTGTTCATAGCTCTTTATTTTTCTTTATTTGAATTTTTATCTGCGGAGCAGAGTTATATTTACATTTTTATTGTATTTTTATTTAAATTTTTATTTATATTTTTATTTTAACATATAATTTTTATTTTATTTTGAATGACATATATTTTATAGTGTCATTGTTACCACGTGTACTCAGTGTTGAATTGTAAATAACGATTAAAAATTTTGCATTTATTACACATAAATTTCTATCTTTCAACTTCTTTCGTGGAAACTGATCCTTCTCATAATTTTTGAACATGCATATTTCTTTTTTGCATATCAGTGATGAATTATGTGGGTATTATCTTTCTATCGTTCTGAACAAATTGCTGGTGGCGTTATGGGAAGCTCAGCGATTCCATGGTGGACATTCTCGAGAGTTTTGACGAGAGATAATCAATAATGGTCGCTTATCTATCATGTAGGTAAGATTATACTGCAGGACTAATCAATGCTTCCACCAGTCGCGTATGCTTTGACTGATCCTCGGCGGATCGCAAATTGACAGTTCCGTTAAGGAATCGTGCGGGTAAACGGCAGGCAAGATCGCAACCGCTGCAGAGTGACCGTGAATAAGGCAACTAGTACTTGAAGAGGATAAACCATCGAAGAGAGGCACTGAAACGGAGATTGCAAAGATAAACGAGTCCACCGTGGCATTGTGCATGCCGCCCCGAGGCCCCCGTGTTAAGTCGTTCCGGATTCTTATCCTCCAGATCTATTCTCGTCGAACGACATACGTCGCTTTGAAAACGACGCCGGTACCATTTTTTTGGAGAGACCGCGTGAAGGCGTTGATAATAGTCTACGGAAACGTGCCGTGCATGGAAGATATAAGACTAAAACCATGCAAGCATAGAATTTATTGTCTATATACTCTAAATGTTCTAAATGTTTGAATATAATGTAAATTTTACATGACGATTACTTTTAATAATAATATCTTATATTGGTAAATAACATAAATATTATTTGCACCAAAGAGGACTAAGATTCTAATTCTGTTTAATATTTGGACATGTATAATTTAATAAGATGCAAATTGAAGTAGTCTTATAAACTGCGTGATTCGTTTGTCTTGTATGACAATTCTGTGACAGGACCCTTAAATCCATCATGTTTCTTCTATAGAATCAGTAATTTTATCAGGACTCTAGATAATTGTCTTCAGTAATAATTCAAAATCAAATGAGTGTTTCTAATATGTGATTTTGTATGACCCTGTATGTATTATCTTTATAAGAGAGTTACAGCTTTCATTAAGATTATAAAATGAATCATTTAAAACATATTCGTGGTATAAGTGTTCGTGCTTCATCTAGTAAGTTTTATTCAAATAATTTATTCACATAAATTTTTCTGAAAATATTTTTTTCTCACGTGTATTTATATCCTAAAAATGCCATAATATTTATTATAAATTTTATTATAATAAATATTAAATATATATAATATGCCACATCCTGCAAATTTAAGGTAACCATATTTTAATCTTATCTTGCTACTTTTTTTATTGGAGATTTTTTACAAGACAATAAATTATATTGTATAAACAAATAATATACACATATAAATTTAATATTATTGATTATTGTATAGATGCTGCTTTGCCATCGCATTATGGACAGCATGCTGATATATATTTAGAAAATTACAAATTAAAATCGCAGTTATTACGGTCAGATCCATTATTCGTAGTAGAGAAAAGTCATAATGTTGATGTCAAACAATTGGAACAGTTTCGTCAAGACGGCCTGCGGCTCGTTTCCAAAGAGAGCAAAACTATTTGCAAGCAACGTAGTAAAACCAAGTCTAATGTGACGTTATTAAAGAAGAAATCATCGATGCATAAAAAATTGCCATCAGAGAATATAGCAAAAAGAGAGTATCATTATTCAACGTGCCAGAATGTCAAATTTAATAGCAATGAAATTAACAAACAATTCATGACTCATAGCAATGCGATAATAAATGGCGCAAAGGATATTAATCGTCATAGTAGTTTCATGGCATCCATTGAGAAACATCCTCGACCCCGATCATATGCAGAAATGATAGCCGATTACAGCGAATCCTTATATAAGGAATCCACTGTAGGTGTACGAAAGGATAGTTTTTATTTCAACAAAGCAATACGCAACAGTCCATTCAGTACTTTCTCGGTTCCACCTCGAGCTAAGAAAATTATGAACGTTGCTGAATACAACGAATTTTCAATTGAAAGACAAAAAAATGATTATCCTTCTTCTGTTAAGTCGTTCAATTTTTGCAATCAACATAACAACATAAATACTATTGATTGTTACGATTTTCGACATCACAATACGTGCACTGCAGAAGCAATGAATAAAAATATCAATCGGAACTGCGTTACGAACGACTTGAAGAGTGAAGATCAGTCTTATGCGAAATTAGTTGCTGATTGCAGTAAGTCCATGCATAATATTCCTATTACAAATGTTTTGAATGATGATTTAGTACCAAAAGGGAACATGTTGGCGAGAAATTCTTTTGAATCTGTCATCACTACGACAAGAAAAACCAGTGACACGCAAGAGACATCGCGGAAGATAATTCCTACTATTAGTACAATGCCATTCGAGAAAAATATCAAGGAAAAAGTGATTAATTTAAAGAAAAATGATTGGTTAAAAGAAATGGAAAACGTGATAAGTGACTTAAAAAATGTGACTGATAGAAAGGTCGCAAGAGTTGATGTTCCTAAGATGAAAGAAAGTGATATTCTGCAACCTATGAATGCATCTGATAATTCGCTGGACAGAATTTATGAATTCACAGAACTCAAATCTGACAATCAAAAGGAGAAAGATACAACAATTAGGAAATTCAACTATCAATTTGATAAAATCGATAGAATGGAAAAACGTAAGAAAGTTCTTGAGTTGCAAAAGCACAATTATTCGCACTCGAGTGGCAAAATCTTAAATCTGCCACAATATTTTGGTAATGCAGCGGAAAATTCAGCCGTAAAAAAAAATTCAACGTTTGCGTCAACTAGCGGTAATACTGATGTATTGAAACAGCCACAGATCAAATTGCGGATGGTGCCTTCTGAAAAAGAATCCGTTGTATCCATCAACGTAGACCAAGCTTCATTAGATCCTCTAAATTCTACCTCCAAACATCTCTCTGTCATCGTGCAATCTGATCAAAAGGAAGATGTACAATTAATGGACAATCAATGGAACGCTCCAACGCTTCGGCGTACCAATAAAAATGCATTGCAAAGCAGTGCTTTCGGTCCAATGCATATTTCAATTAGCGAAGACTCTGCACCAGTCAAACAAATTGAGTTTTCAATTAATGGCAAACCGGTTTCAGAGCTGAAGAGTATCACTGCGCGAACGGAGAAACTAGACGTAGTGACTTCCTCGGACAAAATTGAAATCAGGATTCCGTTTGTCAAGAATGATTCGAATGTGTTGGACAAAACTAGAGAGGGTGACCTATCGAAAGGAATTAAACCAAAAGGGCAAATATTGAACGTGCAAATATCTGCCAATTTTCAGGACGAATCTACGAAAGATAGTAGCATTGAGAAACCAGCGAAAACAATACGATACCAATATGATAGAGACACGATACCAATATCACAACCGCCAATTTCTAAAACTCCTTATTTGTCTAACAATTTCTCAAAAGTTCGTGAGGAAACTTTTAGCAGTAATAATATACAACAATACAAATGTTCTAAACCAATGGATATTAAATTTGACGATACTGAACAAAATATTAAGAAATATAAGACAGGAACTTCGTTGATCAAAAAAATAAACAATGTTGAAGTTGAAAGTTTGAATACGAGAAGAACAAATACTACAGGATTTCTGGAGGCGAATAAGTACAATGAAAATGAATCTTCTGACAATCGCGTTCCTTCAAAAATTATTCCTTGGTGGTCCTCCTCGGATTCTTTCAACAAGATAAGAAAGGAGGAAAATGATCATAGACCGCTTATACCACCTTCAAATAAAAATCAACATAAAGCAATTTCAAGTTTGAATCAAAATTTTGTTGAATCATTACTATCAACGCCGAAAAAGACATCAAATTCAAAGGTACTAACGAAGAAAGTCCAATTAATGAATAACACAACTACAAATAATTCTAGCAATACACGTCCAAATTCTACAAATCCGTATGAAGAATCTAAACCATCTCTTCATTATGCATGTTCATTTAGATTAAAATCAAATCAAAGAAATCCCAATATGCCTGAAATTATAAAAAATAGTTTGAAAGCTGAAGATAAACAGGCAACTACAAAGAAAGACGTCAATAAAATTTCTGGAATTAAACAAATGGAATCGTTTACATTATTTAAATCTGATACAATGAATATAAAAAGTAAATGTGATATAGGTATAAAAGAAAAGACATTTGTCAACAATAATATCATTCATCAAGATAAATCGAAACAGGATTTAAAATCATTATTGAAGGTTAATGAAAATAGATGTAGTTCGTTAAATACTTTTTCGTTAAGAACTTCTTCAGGAACGATGCAAAAATCAGAAATCTCAGGAAAGGTATCATTAGAAGAGTCAAAGCAAAATAGACTGAAAAGTTTAACAGGCATAAAGAATACTCCAGAAACGAATCAAGAATTCGAAAAATTAAAAAATTTGACATCATTGAAGTCGGCTAATCCATCCAAAGAATCTTCAAACACGATAGTGATAGATAAATTGCCATTGCAAACCGAAAAACAAATACAATCAAAACCGTCCAAAAATGCAAATATGATCAAAATTGTCAATATAAATAAGTTGTCCTCTTCACAAACAATATCAACATCAAAAACAAAAGATCGTGTAATATCTAAAAATTTAATAAATAAAAACGTAGGAGAAATGTCTCAATCTGTAAAAACGAAAAGGACCAAAGAGGAAGACATGATAGTCAGGATCGTAACGGAAAATCCCAAGAGTAAGGATCTAGTATCGAAAAAATGTGAGGAAAATTGTTTTAAAGCAGGATTGGACAAAGGATATCTATTGGGATCAGCTGGTTCTTCAAGGAAGCCAAATGTTTCGATTAGTTTCAAGTCAGCAGATTCAAATACGAAATCTAGGGTAATGTCAAACAATTGTACTTATAAGAAAAAATTGTTTATGGAATCGTTTTATTTAAATTTTAATAGGAAGAATGATATTATGTCAAATTCGCAGTCAGCCATATTCAAAGTTCGACAACATATGAATGACGTTGATATGCTAGAGTATCCTGCGCCAAATGTAATCAGAAGTAATGGATTGTGGATTAATATGGATAGACCAGAGAAGAGCATACTATATTCCGCATGGTTACAACGATCTGAAAATGACATTAAAAAGAATGAAAAATTATTTTGATTGCGTATTTTGTTAAAAAAAGATGTCACGTAGAGATTTGTTAAAATATATTTACATTATGTCAAATTATCTATGTATACTTTAACGGCATCATTTATTGATGCATGTTGTATTGTTTATTTAAAAAAAAACTTTAATAAGTAATATTTTTCATAAAGAGTTGTTAGATATAATAAAGAGTTTCGTCAAAGAGATATGCACATGCATTATCTAATGTTGTAATCGAATTCTTTGATCGTTCTAGAGACCGGAACGAGTGCTTGATGGTAAAACTTCGATGGCTTGCATAAAGGTAATCGCTTCTCTGATAGCTTTGCATTCCGTTGAAGGAACTCGTCGAGTAAACGCTAGATTGGGTAATTAAAATTCTCATTACGTCGGCGGCATCTTGAAACGCGCCGCGGACAATAGGCTGGAAACGAAGTCGCGGATTGCAAGGATAGGATCGTGCCGTGGAGGGACAGAGGGTGAAAGCATAAATAAAGCCAATTGGCTGAAAAAGGAAGGACTCTGCGTCAAAATGTATGAAAAAATTATATAAACCTTATTATACTTGTGAAAATTTTAATTCATTACCTACGATTAATTATGATTCTTCAATGACATTCTTTATAGTTTAAAAATTAAACAAACTATCTACAAATTAAATTAACACACACAAGAAAAGAAATATTTTTTACTATTTATCAGATGATATTTATTATTAAATAAATATATCTGGTAAAATAACGAAAAATATTTCTTTTCTTGTTATTTCATTACAATGAAATAATAAGAAAAGTTAGTTTCTCACACAATAACAATAATTGTCAAGTACTATATTCGGAAAAATATTTTTAAACGAATTCTTTCTCTCTCTTCCTCTCCCTCCCCCCCCCTCTCTCTCTCTTTCTCTCTCTCACCCTCATTTTTCTCCAACGTTCTAGCAAACGATCGAAGCAACACGTATGCACGAACTCGATCCTTCGGGTCATGCTATCGGTGCGGCACGATACCCGTCATTATGCCAATTCGCGACGGGCACCAATTTAGGGCCTCCGACGTGAGGGCCTTGGAAGATGGTGCCCCATCATCGAAGGGCGCCGTGGTTCGTGCCACGTCCCGTGCGCGCGAATGAGAAACCCATCATTACACACGCGTTTCGCCGCGAGTATAGTCCTGTTCTGGCAGTTCGCTAGTCATTCGAAGTAATGCATCCTGATTGTCAGGGTCAAGCGAGGCTTTATCGACAGCTGCACGTCGAATATATTTTGTTCATATAGTTCTATTGCATTTATGTTCATTAATGTTACTATTCTTCAACAACCTAACTAAATCCAACTAATAGCCTCATTAACATAATGAAATACTAACTATTATTAATCATTTTTCTCTTTCGTTATCATAATCAAAACTATAATTTGGCAATAAAAAAGAAATGGTTAGATACTTATAAATAACAGAATATTGTATAATTAAGATTTGAGAGAAGTATTAGATACATGCTATATAAATTAACATTTTTATATAGCTTGCTAATTTATTTTTGTTACAACAGTCTTTATTTTATTCAAGAAATAAAATAATTAATTCTATAGATACTTCAATGTATACATTTTTAGATGTTTCTATTACAGTATAAAAGCTTTCTTATTTCCATCGTATGATGAAAGAATTATTTTCATCATAGAAGTTCTTTCTTTAACGGAATACACATATATACCGTTTTCTTATTTGAATATTTCAACTTTAGTTCTTCTAATGAGTTAATCGAATATCAGCAGAGAGATTGTCAAGACACGAGTCATTCTTGTAATTCTTGACTGTAAAAAAAAAATATAAAACGCAGTATCCCTTTTCTAATTTATTGTGTGTCATCAAGCGAAATAAAGAAACACTGGTAAAATATTATCGTGTTGTGCAAAGCTCGTATGCACGCAAATCTTAGCTGACGATAAGGCCGTTAATTATCGAGAGCGACGAGGAGCATCCTTCATATAGCCAGGAATGCAGATGAGTCCTTTTTTTCCGCTACTCGACATTCATCTTAAGATCTTGACGGTCGCTCCTGCCCACCCTCCTGCCTTCGCTTTCTTTTGCGCGGTAACGAAAGTTGATCTGACCCCACGAGAGTCCGGTTCAACCCTGCTTCTCCTCCTCTTTCTTTACCCTCCCGCTGCCCCAGCTGCTGCGTCAGACCCTGGCTTGATTTATCACGGCGTTGCCAGCAGCCTCTTATAAATGTTCAGAAACAACCCTACTGCTACGTTCATCGTTCATCGCAGCGGAACGCAGAAGATTCCTCGGAGTCCCGCTGACTTTTCCTCGCGTCCTTGAACGAACATCAGGTAGAAATCTCGAGGAATCTCCGCCCCTTTGCGATGATATCAAAAGAAATATCCATTTGAGAAATACTTCAAATGGAATATATCTTTCCACGAATTATAATTTGTAAGAATTAATAGTAATAAAATATATATGATGTAGGCTTCAACATATTTTCAATATACAATGTAGGATTTGATTTTATTTTATAAAAATATTATAAAAATATCACGAGCTATTATTATAAATTTGAGTGAAAGATATTGTAAAATATGGAAAATATTGTAAACTGTCACATCATCTATTCTTTGCAATCAATAAAAAATGACTATTCTCTATGCAAGTTTCATTCCTATTTATCTCATTGTCAGCAAGCTCAGTATGGTACGAGAAGGCTACGCTGTTTGTAATGCAATCGTAAAATCCAGCTTGCAATCATTAAATACCCGGATATGCATTCCTGAATGTATTTTTAGTAATTGTGCTATGAATAATTAATATTGAATTCTATCCTCCTATTACAAAAATGTATACACATAAATAATTTTTAATGTATAAATATATAATGTTTTATAATTAAATTGAAGAATAAATATAATTATCAAGTATACGTTATTATAATTATTAAACTGAAACTTAAATCAAAACTGTTAAAAACAAAATAAAATTACAGAGCGTGTATCTTTCTGTTAGAAAATATTATTAAATGTAAAATACATGTATGAAGAATTTACATTAATTCTGTGGCAGAATTGCATATATCAGTTTTTATGTATATGCATGTGAGTTGCATGCTACATGAGCTTCGAGCTGCAAGGACAACGTGGTCCCCACCGCCTACTTGAGGTGCTTCAAATTAGTCTTTGTTTGTTTTAATTATGCAATGCCTACTATATCGGTCTCATTCATTGCACACCATGGAATACTGCGTTATGTATTTCTTGATATATTACGACTACCAACAGCGAGCAATATTAATTGCATGCAGCAAAAAACTATCACTCATCGTCAAGAATTCATAACTTTTTGCTGAGGCTGAACCATTTGATAAATTATTTATAAACAACCTTCGGAGAGTTTAAGCAAATAATTTTATGTATTAATTTTTGCTTCTTATTATATAATTAAATATTAATAAAATATTTAATAATATTAGTAAAAAATAAGTGCGTCTGTTTTCCTCACAATAGTTTGATAATATTTATAGTAAATCTATTCTTTAAAATTTGTTTAATTTACTAAAAATCTATAATAAATGTAATATATATATGTACATACATTCACAACTATATTGTTGCGCATATATATGTATAACATACTAACGATTACACGTGTATCTTACAAGCGGCTCACTTAATGAGGGATTATAATCTCAACAAGAGATTTCTTCAGATCCGAAGTTCTCTAGCTTTCTCATCTTTTTAACCATCCTCTACTTTGCTCGATGTAATCCTCCCTTTTTCGTTATTGCAGGAGAATTAATTATTTTTCTTTATATTGGAATGAACTTTATGATCATTTTCGTCGATCCTCCATGATACCTATTTAATCCTTTTGTATGAAGAATTCTTTATGAAAGTAGGAAAAAAATTAAAAAAGGAGCAGAGAGAGAGAGAGAGAGAGAGAGAGAGAGAGAGGAAGAAGAAGAAGAACAAAGAAAGAAGAAACCGCAATCTATGTTCTGTATAGGTTCGAATTTTGCTTAATTTTGTTATCCATTATGCGATAAGAGAGAGAGAGAGAGGAGAGAAAAGAATAAAGTTAAATCATATGAAACATATCGCTCGATAACAATTACAATAGAGGTAGCATGCAATTGTAATATTTCTGTATTACTTACTAAATAACTTTAAATTTTTTTAATAGTTTTTTCTAGAATACACTGTAAAACAAGTGTTAATTATTGTAATAAATTACAAGAAAATCGTAAATATAATTTAATAAAATCGTAAATATATTTCATAACAAGTGTAACATATTTGAACCATAAATAAAGATAACAAATTTATGCAATAAAATAAAGATAAATGGTAGTTTATACAAAGATGTATTGTAACAGCAAGGTAGATAAATTTAGGCTTAAACCGACCTTGGTCCCACTGTCATTTCGTTCATATACTTGGCTTTTGTAAGTCTCCGGTTTTTACACTTTACTCGACGGGACGAGTGCTCTTTAATCCCCTAGCGAAGGAAACGAAGAGGCTTAGGAGAGAGATATCGAAAGAACGCAGAAAAAACCAGATAAAGTCGCGAAATCAAGCCACCGAGCAAGCTAATCCGCTTATGGTGATGCCGCGGGCGACGAAGCGAGGAATGCACCGACATTTGCGGTACAACGAAATCTCAGATAAGAGTCTTAAGTCGCGAAGTTATAGAAACATCAAGGGGGAGGGATAAAGATGCTCGTCGCTAGCGAGCTTAAGCCTAATGGGATTGAACGGTATGAATAATAATGAACCGCAAAGTAATATTAAAAAGAAATTATTACGTCGATTGCGATTTTTTTCAAAAAGTCTAGTAGCCACAGCCGTAATTTACGATTCCATAATTCGGGAAAAGCGTTGCAAAAATATACCTACTTTTAAGCCCAGCCACTATTATGCTTAATTGCAACATCGAGGATTTTTAACAATTTTTAACAAAGATTTTTAAGTTATGTAAAAAATTTATATTAATAATATTAATATAAAAATTTTAATTTTATTTTGATAACATTTTCAATAATAATAACATATCTCATATATTAATAAACAATAGAATGAAATTTAATTTCTTCTATTTATTTAAAATTCTAGGAGATTGCACTATCTTATCATTTACAACGTCTATGCCTGCGTAATAATCCATAACAGACGAGTATTCACGGCGCTAATTGAGTGCGCACTGATACGTCGTTCTACAATAAATCGATTGCTTTATTGAGATCAGCTCCGGAATGTGTGTGTACGCCTCCCTCACTTCTGAACAGTGACAGTAGGTTTTAGAGCGGGAATTTCTGGGGAGGAAGAAACGCGATAACGCGGCAAGAGCAACGTGACTGCCTCTCTCTTTTTCTTCCCGCTTGTTTTCCTCTTTAGTGAGATGTCGCCGATACATTAGCGTAATTCCCTTGGTTCACCGAGGGGTAATGGGGTAATTGCTTTGTGAATTCTGCCATGTCTCGGACTGTCTCATCCTATTTATCGCTTACGCATCGTTCTGCCTGCTCACCGCAAACCTGGGTATTACTACCAA